ATTCAAAATTCGTCCATTTAATGCTGTGAAAAATGGTGTACCTGGAGAGGGACAGATCTACTACAATGGTATTTTTTTTTAATGAAAGTGGAACTTAAAGGGTTAAATAACCTAGGAGAAATAAGCGAAGAAGCTTTTTTTATAAGTTTTCGTGTTTTTAATAAATCGGTGGAGATAATTTTATGAAAGGTGTTTAAATCCTTTGGAGATTTAATTAGATCTTTTTTTATTAATTAAGCACTGTGTAACAGTTTCAGTGAACAAAAGCCTTTTTATTACTTTTTCTGGAACGAGTCTACCCTCAGCCAGTCTGTTAATTTTTGTATTTGGTGACGGGGTTCTTTTTTGCTTTAGTCCTTGATAGCGTTTTTTATACTTTTCTGTAAGTAGTATGGCATTTTTAATTTCTTTTGAGGTTCTTTTAACATCTTTTATGCTTTTGAAAGATTTAAATTTTTTTTCTTTTTCTCCCACGTAACTTCTGTGCATTAGCAGTCAAATTCCGGCTAGAATTAGATTGATTCTCTGAAACATCGCCATCCCAAGGTAGTGGGCTATTTGGTGGAGTGTCATTTTCCATGAAATTTTGAAATTGCTGTTCTTCTTTTTTCTCTACATCTTTGTACTCTTATTCCAAACCAATCTTCGGTCCTTATGTTTTTCTCTTTCGTCCATCTTTGTCCTAAATTTTTTCCACGCACCTTCTACTATTTTTTTTCTTTGTATTTCCTATTCTCGCTTTTTATCTAAGACTGCTGCCGACATATTTGACTGTCTTTTTCTCTGCCTCTCCCTGTCCTTTTTTCGCTTTTCTTCCAAAGCTTTTGTAGGCAAAGGAGGCTTCTTTTTGGTAACTTTTCGTATTTTTTTAAAAGGTTTATTTATGGATGTGTCCTTTGAAGTACTAGGAACTTCATTTGCCTCAAACTCTGATCTTGTCGATAGAGCTTGTGAATTCTCCTCTTTTTCTTGCAATTATCACTTGCGTGGATTTTGCGTAGCCGCATCCGTCGAGGTATTTAAAAGGTTACTAGTCTGATGGTCTTGTCTTGGAAATAAATTTGTTTCTACATTTTGGCGTTTTGCCATTAGTTTTATTTTTATAATTTTTCTTTTTTTGTAGTTTCTTCAGCTTTTTTCGTCGTCTCGTTTTTTTTGTATTTATTTTTAACTGAATGTTAGTTCTATTAGAAATTGTCAAAAACTTTAATTCAAATGAAACTTTAATTAAGTTTAAAACAACTGGGAAAATTATGTACTTAAATTTTGACTCACTCTGTACACATTTGTTTTTAATTAATAAAAGTAGTGCATTGGCATAAATTTTATCCTTTTGAAATTATCCAAATTTCCTAATAATTTTTTTCTTTTCAGCGAATATCCGAGAACAAATTTAAATCGCCGCAAATATTTCGAGTTAATCAGTAGCACGATATCAATAATTTGAGTTCATGTTCATTTCACCTCTGACAATAAAGACGTTTGATCTTAGAATGTATATTATGTCCTTTGATGTTCAATGTAGATCTTTGGTGTGCATTGTAGTGTCTTTGGATGTACCTTCTAGGATCAAATGGACAAGGCTGCAGATATACTATCCTGAGATACGTCTATTTTGAAAAAAATTACGTATCAAAGGGTTGCTATAGAATTGAACATGATACGATGATTATTAATGTCGTCGGGAATAGAAGATTTTCCGGACGCGATTTTATCGGAAAACTCTACTGGAAATAATGAATTTATGGAAAAAGGAAAGAAATACTGAACAAACTAATCGGGCGGAGAGTAAATGAGAAATGAGCGGTCTAAAATGGTGAGTCTTTAAACAAATTATTACAAAATATCTTAATGGTATTCTAGATTTGTAATTCGGTTTTTATTTCTATAGAAACTTCTTGTAACCATTAGTGCAAGGAAGTCCAGTATCTCTCTTATCATAAAAAATATGAAGAAAATATTTTAGATAAAAGTTTTTTTATTGTATATATTATGAAATACTTTGAAATATATGTATAGACCAGGGTATTAAGTTTTACAACGGGACAACCTTAATGTCGATGTTTTTAAATGGAATAATGATAATAATATTTATTCATTATAAAAATATATAAAAATGGAGTGTAATATAAATATCTACATAATATATATTGTATCTTATGAAACAAACATTTAAATATCCATAGAAGTATTGCATAATACTTTTTTTTTTTGATTAATTCAACCTATCAATTTTTTCACCATTGATCTCGGCATAAAATTTAATGTACATTATCATTTTTTTAACTCTACAACGTTGTCTACATATTGTAAAAAATGTGAAAATTTACTAAAAAAAAAAAATGTTAAAATTTTGGTATTGATATTTAAGGTAAAATATTTGGTAAACGCAAAAATAAAAATTAACTAAAACGTGTGATAAGATCAAAAGTTTATTTATTTTTATACAGGATAATCTACTTGCCAATCTTTGAACATTTAAAACTTCGTTTTTTCGAAATTGAACGCCCAGTATATTATTTTATTGTCTGTTAGAACCAATCTATTCTATCAAATTATTGGAAAGATACTAATTTTTATAGATTTGTATCCAACGGAGTGTATAAAGAATGAGTAGATTATACTTTCCACAGGGTCTTATTAAGAATGGGACACAGAATAACTGAAGATTATCAGATCAAAAATAAGACAATTAAACGAAACATGCTTAAATAAAATATGACTGGTTTCCGAAATACAGGGTGTTAATGTTGAAAATTCAAAAATTATTAATGGCTATAATTTTTTTTATTTCTCAGTATAATTTTACTAAATTCGGTAAACATTTTTGGTGTAAGATATACACAATCAGTTAAATAAACTTTACCAGTGGCGCACGGAATGGATTAAGCAACACTTTCATCCACTCTAAATTGTACGCCACTGACCAAAAACTTATTCGGACTATATTTTTACATTTATTATGTTTTTTAAATAAATCAAGTACTCTTATTGGTAACTCATACAGTTGTAACAACCACCGTCATTTAGGAAGTAACTGCGATGTCACTAAATAACAATGTAGTGGCCAAAAGGACTCTAGTCATCAACGGGGGGTACACTGTAAGTGTAAAGGCAGCGACTGTCACCAGTCACAGGGGATAAGGTCCTTAGAGCTTATCCACTCACACCGTGACAAAAACAAGAAAAAGAAAAAATAAAATAATAGGTTTAAAAATAAAAGATTTTTCCCCCGTTATGAATAGTGCGAGCGGGTTAAGGAAATGGTTTGGCAACCTCATAATAGGCATCTATAGTCCTTACTCGGGGGTAGGTTCGTCGAGGCTTCGCAAAAGGGGAAGGTAAACCTCATGAGGATATAGAATATAAATTCCACAGTTATGTATGTGTATTGGTTAAGAATTAAAAGAAACACTTAAATAATTACTCAATTATTGAACTCTGGATTTGATTAGATAGCTTATCTGGACTAGGGGGTTGTTCCTCTTTATGGAACTCGGGCTGAACTCAACAACTCGTAACACACATAAGATAAAAACAGGTAAATGTTTAACAACTCAATATATTTAAACATGTAACAAAAACTATCAAATAATATCATATTTTTAGAGGTACAAGATCCACCATGAGGTTCTCGCCTGATTCGGTAAATCAGCCGACGATAATAAAGTACCGATAACTACTATAAGAATAAATGGCAAAACGTGTCAGAAATCTCGTTGAATCTTGTAGCTACCAAAGTCAAAAAAATAAACTATATCATTTCCTATAAAATCTACGAAGAGAGGTAACTAAATAATTTGGCAAAATGAAAGGAGAACTGTCACAATTTTAATATAGTGAAAGAGGAAGGCTTACCTTGCTCGATACGTGGTTTCGATTTCACTAAGTTTAAAATCGGTTGGCTGATATTTATTATTTAATCACAACTTTAAAAATTACTTTAAAATTCCCGAGATACGCTTTATCGGCGTCGGTGAGTAGTCGGACAGCGTAACGTCCGGCCCACTCAGTCACTGTCTCTTCCCCTCGTTTCCAGATCATTTAAATATTAGTTGAGACGTGCTTTCTTTGAAATTTTTGATCAACTCATATATTATTTAATTTACTTTGATATTATAATAACTGTTATTAATATTTCTAGGTCAAATGAATGAAATTACTTGAAAATTTATATGAGATTTTTATGTAAAATCTTTAGATTAATTAAAATAACTGCCAAATTATTACACAGTAGTTGGTTGTTTAAAGATATTTATAGTCAAAAGGTGGGGATATTAAAAGAGATGAAGGTCGTGTTACATACCCATGCCGTACGCCATTGGTAAAGTTTATTTAACTCATTTTTTTGCTGATATGAGTATCTTATAACACCAAAAACGTTTGCTCAGTATAATTTTATAAAAAAAAATTCAAAATTACATAATTAAAATGAAGAATATCCACCTTTTAGTGTGAATATCTCGAAAACCTATCATTTTATGAAATCACAACAGTACTCTTGTTGTTATTTAAAAAATGTATGGTCCAAATGGACATTGGCGTAAATTTTAGAGGATATGATGAGAGGGTTCTACACGCCACTGGCAAAGTTCATTTAACTGATTGTTTTGCTGATAGGTCTATATTACGACACCAAAAATGTTTACCGAATTTAGCAAAATTATACTAATAAATAATAAAAATTAGAGCCGTTAATAATTTTTTAATTTTCAAAAACATTAATAACCTGCTGTATTTCGGTAACCAAAAATATTTTATGTGAGCCTATTTAGGTTAATTGTATTTATAATCAGAATCTTCAGTTGTTCTGTGTCTGATTCTTAATGAGACACCCTGTATACATAAAAACTATTCAGTTGGTTTTTTATCGTCTTCTCTTCCCAAAATGTGCCTTAGTACGGTCCTGAAAACACTGAATATAATTATTTTGACCTTGGCAGCATTGACTGTCAAAAAAAAATGACATTTCATACGTTCTTTTGCATACACCCGAGATACTCTTCGTATGACAAACAAACGGCTATTCTTTCAGCTGAAAAACGTCAGTGTCAGTATTTGTTTTTGTGTCAGAAGAAATATTTGTGCGAAGTTGTACAAAAGAAACGTATTAAAAATTACTACATCGTTTTTTGTATGTATATAGATCACAAATAACAATTTAATTCGCAATTAGCCAGTATATGTTCTTCCAAGCTTTATATACATTTCTAATTACTTATTAAGTAGTTTAAATATAACAATTTATTGCCAGAGGTAAAGTAAAAGTAACATTGTTTTTGTTATAAATAATCACATAAGTGACTCATTGTTTTTTCAGATGCCTATACTTTACAGTGTTATCTGTCGGGGTAGTACTGTCTTAGTTAAATATGCAACATGCGCTGGAAATTTTGGTGAAGTTACAGAACAAATTATAGCAAAAATTCCGCCTCACAATGATAAACTTACCTATTCTCATGGAAACTATCTTTTTCACTACGTTTTAGAAAATCGTATTCTGTACATGTGCATAACAGATGATGTAAGTATCTAAGTTTGCTTATCCTGTAGGGCACAAACTTATAAATAATGTTTTTACTTAATAGGAATTTGAGAGAAGTCGAGCATTTTTATTTCTCAATGAAATTAAAAGACGGTTTCAAGCTACTTATGGAGCTAGTGCTGATACAGCTATTGCTTATGCAATGAATTCAGAATTTTCCACAATATTGGCTACAGAAATGAAACATTATTCCGAATCTCACGATCTTGATACAATATCCAGGGTCCACAGTGAATTAGATGAATTGAAGAATATTATGGTTAAAAATATTGGTAAGTAAAAATCTCACTAGTAAATATAACAACAAATTCAGTAAATCCCAAAAAATTATCTATGAAAATGATGTTACACATATTTTTATTATTTTATCAAGTTAATCTAATATAATAAAAAAAAAATGTTAAAAATTATTATCTTTATAAGTACTTTATCAATTTCAAATTTTCAGAAAATATACTTGAGAAAATAAATTATGTGACTCATTAAGTTTGAGTAAAAACAAGAGATAATTAAAAAAATTAGCATGTATATGCAAACCATCAATTAAAATTTTTTATAAGAAGAAATATATTTTTAAAATTAAAAATACTATTAAACAGTACATAATTATTTAAAAATCAACCTATTGGTAGAAAAATCTACCATTAAAAAACAATAATGCTTTTTCGAAGTATTTTGACATTGCTCAAAAATATACTGTTGATAAGTTATATTTGTTGCCATTGTATTTGGATACAGCAGAAGTTAATAAATAATTGATTAATAAATTTTGTTACAGATAATATTGCAATGAGAGGTGAAAGACTAGAACTTCTGGTCAACAAAGCAGATAATCTAAATAATGGAGTGAGTAATTAACTAATCAGTAAAATAAATATGTATTAATAGAGTAAACAATCATAATCTTTATTTGTGGTATTAAAAAATGCTGATAATTAAAAATTAATGGCTTTAAACCAATTTTAGGGGTTATTATTTTGTTTTTGAAAGATAGTTAAGAAATTTAGGTTTAGTTTAACATTGACTAAATGCCAAAAATTGATAAAGAGAGCAGAATTGTACTTATCAAAAATGCCTCTATAAAATGGATACCATCAACAGCAATTTTGGTAACCTTACTAAACTAAACCTTTGTAGTGACATCCCTTTTCCAGTAGGATAATTCTGTGAGTCAGTAGACAACAATAATTTCTAAACCTTGTGTTGTGAAGGTGTTCTGCTATATATTCATTGAATATACTTTTATTTTTATGCACAAATTTAGATTTTAAAAGTGACCTCTACATGATTCTGTAAGCATCAGATAAGTTCAATCTTCAAATAACTTTTTGTATTACAAAAACTTCTTGACAGTGTGAACCTTCCCAAAAAATTAATTCCAATGTTCTTTTAATGGATCCAGTTATTCTGTAATGTCATTGCAGATGATTACTTCCAGTTTTTCTGGAAATAATAGAAAATCGCAATGAATCTAAATTAGTTATGTAATAGTAAGTCAATAAGTAACAAATCAAACAACTAATCCAGTGGTGTACCAACTTTTGGTATGTTATTTTCTTCAACTATGGCCTAAAATTAGAATGCAAAAATCCATGCTATCATGTGATTCCTGCAGGAATCTAATTTGTTTAGATTGTACAAATCTGTCAGCCTCAGAAATAAGGTGCCTTCCTATTGTAGGACAACTATTAAAATTTTTGTGTATCAAATGTCGAAGTTATGATTTAGTTGATATTCTAAATAACCATATCAAAGATAAGGACCAAATAATAAAGGACAAAGAAGATATCATCGAACTATTGAAGGCTAAAATTAATGATTATGAAAAATCTCCTATTCAACAACCCACTTCTTATGCCCAAGTAACAAAGGGTTCTGTGCAAACACATCAAATACACTATCCACAAATTATAATTAAACCAAGAGTACCTCAAAATTACCAAAACTCCAAGGATGATGTTGAAAAAAATATTAAACCTGAAGCATTGAAAGTTGGAGTTAAGAGTGTGAAAACTCTTAATTTAGGTGCATTAATTATTAAATGTTGTAATAAACAAGGAATGAATGTCTTAGAAGAAAGTGTCAAAAATAAGCTGGGTGATAACTATGATGTGGAACTTAGTAAGATGAGGAAACCAAAAATAAAAATGGCTAATTTTAACCAGGATAAGAGCAAGGAGGACATCAAGAAATCAAATAATCTAGATAAGGAAATAAAAGTTGCATTTATAAAAAAACCGTGCACTGGAAACAAAACGATTATTTGTGAATGTAGTCCAAAAGTTTTTAACCAAATAATGCAAGAAGGTAAAGTTAATATTGGTTGGGGAAAGATACACAGTGCATGAGGACCTTGACATACCAAGATGCTATCAGTGTCAAGGATATTACCATAATAAACAAAATTGTACTAAAAAAATTGTCTGTTCTTTTTGTGCTGAAGAACATCTAAGAGAAAACTGTCCTAAAACTAAAGTGTGTTGTGCTAATTGTAAGAATTCAAATATTAATTTTAAATCCAACTATCCAACTGATCACTACGCCACTGATTCAGAGTGTAATACTCTGAAATATTTCAAACAGGTTCTTAAAAATAAAACAACCTATTGTGAAAATTAATTTCTTATCTTTGCTTTCTTTTTTGTTTTAATTTAATCTCAACATTATAATAACAATTTTTTAAATATTATCAGTTGCAATAATCATTTAACAACCTTAATAAAAAATTTGCATTTGAATATTAGAAGTATAAAAAAAATGTTTGACAACTTTTTAGTATTTTTAGAAACTTTTGGTTTAAAGGACTTGGATATAATAATATTAGGAGAAACACATAATGTTATTGAACTTGATAATTTAATTATACCTGGTTTTATCAATATATTGAATGAAAGTGTGAATAATCAATGTGATGGTGTAGTTATATATATTAAAAACAACATTCAGTTTGAAATAGAACATACAAAGTTGCCTCTATCAAATATAACAATAAGCTCAATAACATTTAGTCATAATGGTGTGCCCTATACAGTAATGCCTTGTTATAAATATCCATCCATATCAGATGATACATTTCTTGTACATATATTTATTGGCGACATTAATATCCTTGATCCTTCAAACCAAATAACAAATAGATATTTGGCAATGTTATCTTCCTTGGGATTTGTATCATAATATATTAATTCATACACCAGGGTTACTGTAGAAACGAAATCATGTATTGATCATATTTTTATAAAAAATAATATGCCAAATAAAAATGTTTCATTTAAATCGTTGATAATTGACACTGATCTAACTGATCATTTTCCAATTTTTTTAAATATTACAACAAACGAAAGAAACTAACCATAATACATTAAACCAACATGCAACACAATACACCGATATTGATAGATTTACAAAATTATTAGAAAATGTAAACTGGAACAACGTCATTTCTCTTAGCAATCCAATTTTGGCCTACCAGAAATTTATTGAAATAATATATTCCCTAAAAGAACAATGTAATATAACTAATAGGCATAATACTTATAAAAAAATAAAACCATGGATAAGTCAAGGCATCATCATGTCTATTAAACATAGGGATAAAATGAAAAAGTAAATATTAAAAACCAAAAACAACAATCTTCTAAGAGAATATAGGATATATCCGTAACCAACTAAATAAAATAATAAATAAAGCTAAAAATGATTATCATACAATTCAAATTTAAAATAGTAACAATGATATTAAAAAAATATTCAAAATAGTTAAAGAAGCTTCAAATGAACACCGAAACAATGATTTTAATATTCTAAACAATAATAAACAATTAACAAATGGCCAACTACTGCCATAACTATTTTTCAAAAATTGGTATAGATATGGCAACTAAAATCAATTCTGTAGATGACTTCCTAATAAGATATCCACCTCTAATCAATTCAATGGCATTAAATCCTGTCAATAAAAATGAATTAATAGAACATATAAATTTGTTAAAAAATAACAGTGCTCCTGGGATTGACGGAATTACATCTAGAATGTTGAAAAATGATCACCGATACATAATAGAGCCTCTAATGCACATTATAAACCTAATCTTTACAACAGGTAAGATACCGGAAGAACTTAAAATATCAATTATAAATCCAGTTTTTAAAAACGGATCCAAAAAAGATGTGTCAAATTACAGACCAATTAGTCTGATTACAAATTTTGCAAAAATGTTTGAAAAATGTTTAAAAAAAAGATTATACGAATATCTAATTGATAAAAAGATTTTAAATGTTAAACAGTTCGGGTTCCAAAAAGGTATTAGCACTTGTGATGCCATGTATGAATTGATATTTAATATAAAAAACAGTCTTGAGAATGAAAATAAAAATATAAGTATTTTCATCGACCTCGCGAAAGCTTTTGACACTGTTCCTCACAAGCAACTACTAAATGTTCTTGAACATTATGGCATTCGAGGATTGGTTTTAAAAATTTTTGAAAATTACCTACACGAGAGAACACAGATAGTTAAAATTAGAAATGAATTTAGTAATCCTGTTAAAATTCAAATAGGTGTGCCACACGAACTGTCCTTGGTCCAATTCTTTTTATCATCTATATTAACTCTCTTTTAAACTTAGATATAAATGGTATAGCAATATCCTATGCAGATGACACCGTATTATTATTTGAAGGTAAAACCTGGGAGGCTGTAAAATTAAAAGTGGTTAAAGGGGTAAGAATTATGAAAGACTGGTTGGATTATAATAAACTATCTTTAAATATATCGAAAACAGTATATATGGCATTCTTAGTCACAGATGCTAACAGGCGTAACTTCAAACAGATTTGTATTGAAGAATCCAAATGCATCATCAAAGAAGTGGAAAATGCCAAATATTTGGGAATAATAGTTGACAAAAATCTTAAATGGACTGATCATGTTCAGTACTTGACAAACAAAATAAGAAAACATACATAAATTTTATTTAATTCGTAACATTCTAAATAAAAAGTTATAACACTTGATATATATATTGCTCTCATTGAATACTTAATTGGATATGGCATAATTGTATGGGGTGGTTTATATGACAATGCCCTACATCCTTTAAGTATCATTCAAAATTATATCTTAAAAATAATAAATCGTAAAAGTCGTTTGTTTTCAACAACCCTCTTATACAACGAATCCACTCCAAACGTAAGATCACTATACTGTCACTCTAGCTGTATGTTCTATTTCAAACTGAAAAATAAAAATTTTGTAAACCACTCTTATATGACCCGAAAACAAAAGAGAAGAATGATAAATGTACCATTCCTTAAATATGATGGAAATAAAAGATTAATTTCTTCAATTGGGCCAAAAGTATACAACTCTTTAAATTAAAATATCAGACATATAAAAAATATAAAAACCTTTTCTAAAGCGATCAGAAAATTTTTATTTGATAAATATTTATACCTCTCAAATTTGTTATAAATACCTAGTCTTATATATTTATGTCCTTTTAATCATCAAATGTTTAGTTTATAGGTATTGTTAATTTTATGTAGTGTTAATCTATTTCTATTGCACATACAGATGTTTTTGCATCTAGGTGGATATTTTAAGAATAATTTCTCATTGTAAATTTATTTGATTTTGTATTATAAAATGTTTATTCTTCTTCTTAAATAAATAAAAAATAAAATAAACATGTACAAAAATAATAATATCTAATATGCTTGTCATTTTGATAAGTAACAGAAATTTTTAATACACGAATATCCAAAATGTTCCCGAAATTCAAATTTTCAATATACAGTGGGGATTCTATTTAAAAATTAAAAATAATTTTTTCAGTTAATTTTAGAAAAATCAACCATGACGCCACAGAATAATTGCATCTATTAAAGAAATAAATAATTTTAAGCCTAAAAAAATATCTTTTTTAAGTATACATATTTGAAAATTCATTGAATCTTTTTTTTTTCAGTCGATGACATTTAGGACCACAAGTAGAAACCTAGCTCGTTCGTTATTTTGGAAAAACATCAAACTCTACGTTATTATTGGTGTCGTCGTAACTGTGATTATTTATATTATTATTTCCATATCTTGTGGTGGGTTGCTTTGGCAGGGATGTTTGTCACACAAATAGAAAATAAATGCAATACTCGTTGTTTATAAATGCACTACTGATATCATTAAATCGTTAGGAAGAATATATATATTTTAGATTTATTATTTAAATATGATTATTTTTTTCATTTTACTGTACAACAGGTCTAAAAGAAAAATAGTAATTTACTGTATTCAGGCTCGAATTTACTAAAAATTTGTCTTAATATTTAGTTTGATATAGTAAATTTGAGTATAATATTGGTATTTTTATTAATCATTATAAGATACAAAAATTTGCATGTGTGGCAAGTCACAAACAATTTGGTATATATTTGTTTTTATTTCATATGTATAAATTAAATATCACTTATTATTTTTTAAGGTTTATTTTCTGTTTTTTTCACGATTTAATGATGATATATTTAAATAACTTTGATCTATAAAGTGCTGTCAAAATATTTGCATATTGGTAACTTCTATAAGGATCTGAAAATAAGTGATACCCACCATCACCAATTAAAAAATGGAAATACTCATTTATACATTGGTAGCTCATTCCTGTTAACATTTTTAGTTGCAACTCTTTGAAATTAAGATTTTATATTACGGTTTAAAATAAAAATCAGTTTCCAAAGTGCTAAAAGTAACTTGAGTAAAATAGCAAATTATTATTGTTCAGTACCACAGTGATATTCATGGAAAAACAAATTCTAACCTTGTCATTGATTTCCTGATGTTAGAAAGTACAGATTTAACTTTAAAATAAACTTGTTTAATTTTATTCTTAAACTGCCCTCCTAAACCAAAAAGCAGTATTTCAATTGAAGTGAATTTTGAGAAAAAACATTTTTTAAAAGTTGTTTTCCAAAAAAAAATAATTTAGATACCGCTAGATTGCTTCAAATTACATATTTCTTGTTTTTGAAATATTCTTTTAAAATAAATAAATACAATAATGGAATATTCCTAAGCCTTTTATTAAATACAGGTGCAGTTGTGACATGTAAATTTTTCTTTTTTTATGTTCCGATATGACTATTAGTGCAATATGATATTTTTCTTAATTCATTTGATGTGGAACTTTTCAAGCTATTCGATGGGCCAAAAACAAAAAGTCTTTTTAACTACCTCTTTTTTGGCTTATTTTTGTAATTATAGAAGAAAAAACATGAAAAATAAGATGAAAACAGTTTCTAAAAACATGTAAACAAATGCCAGTCATCTGTAATAATGTATAAATAAGTCATTCTGGCGAGTGTATTAGATGGCGCTGCGATCTTAATTTCAAATCACTTAGTATAATTTACTTGTCACACACAACTTATTATTATGTGATGGATAATTTTATCAAACATGTATTATTGTCAAAAGAAAGTGTAGATCTGTATTCCAGTGATAGTTTTTTACTTACCACAGTATTTTTAAGATGGTTTTAAAGATTTTTTCTTTTATATCTGTTGAATTGACTGTTATGTGTATACATTTCGTTTTAATTTTAATTCCAAATATTTATATAAGCATCATTACTATTATTAAATTTTGGTAAGTGTTAATTTATACTTAAAGTCTAAATAAACAAGAATGTCTAATAAAATTAATGTTTTCTTTATTATTACCTACATTTAGTAAAAAAATGCTTATTTTTGTGGTATATTAACCATAATGGTTGGTATTGAGAATTGTTAAAATCATAACATTTTTAACCTAAATAAAATAACTAAGTACGGCACTGTAAAAAATTGCAGACAGAAATTTGCATTCATTTTGTCACAAAATAATTTATTTCGTGCCAGTTTATACCAGATGTAGGCAATAATTAAGTACCCAGGTTTCTTATCGCCAATTTTTTTTATAAGTTACTTTATCCTATATCACACCACTTAAGATAGAACAAAATCATTGTCCGATCCTAGATGGGGCGTAACTTAACAAGTCACGTCACTGTTTTTACTAAAAGAAGCTTTAAAAAATAACTTAAGATTCACCCTATACATATTTAAGGTATCCTGAATTTAGTAGCCTGATCTTTGGAATATAATAAAGGTGCTATCATTTTTTTTAACTAGATTATAGATCAATTTTAAATAAGAAATCCTACAGTTTTCATTCCCTCCGAGATATTTAATAATGCCATCAAAGGCTATTTATTTAAAATAATGTAAATCATATCCCTGGCCAGAACCTTAGATAGATATCTACTGAGCAAGTCCCAAATATTTTAAATTTCCAGTTTTTGTTCACATTGAGTCCCATAAAAGAAGGTGCTACTGGCACCACAAAAATAAGTCTCAGTGCAGTAAAAGTGGGGATATAACATCACATTCTATAGGCGTACTTTGCAATATAAGTTTCCATACAAAAATTTTGATGAATTCTTAATATTTTTAACAACTTGCAACCTGAATAAAATTGATGTGATAATACTTGGAGAAACACGATTCATTCATTCAAATCCAGACTTCATGATACCAGGCTTTAATACCATTTTTAATAACAGCTCACTAAATCAATGTGATGGTGTCTTAATTTTTAACATAAACCACTTTAAACTTAATCAGTCTCAGGTAACAATATCACTTTTAACATTAAATATAGATAACACCAGCCTTAACATTATGGCTTGTTACAGATCGCCAGCCACAAATGAAAAACTATTTGTCAAAGATTTAGATAAATTTTTATGCGATATAAACAGAAATGACTTCGATATAATAATTGGAGATTTAAATTATGATATATTAGATTACTCAGATGCGTCCAGTAATAATTACATAGCAATGCTACTATCCCATGGTTTCGAATCTTATGTAAATATTTATACAAGAGTGACCCCCAACATCTGCATCATGCTTAGATCATATTTTTGTAAGGAAAAAGTCAACAGTCACTAAATTCATAAACAGAGCATCTGTTGTAAATTATAACTTAACTGATCACTTTCCTATTTATTTCTCAATAAATCATAAAGAGCAGAAAATATCAGACAGTAAATTAACCTACAAACATATTAATTTGAGGATAACAAATTTTCAAATTTAATTTCAACTATTGAGTGATCAACAATTATTTCTAACAAAAACCCTGCAGAAGCTTATAATATGTTTTCTGAAATAGTTACCAACTTAATAAATCGGTGCACAACCACCTCAACAATTACAATAAAAGAACAAACAAAACTAAAACCCTGGATAACTAATGGTATAATAAACTCAATTAAAGTTAGAGATACACTTAAAAAACTAGTTAATAAAAACAAACCAAACTTGGAGATTTTAAATAACTATAAGAATTATAGAAATCATTTAAATAAAATTATAGTTGCAGCTAAAACTAAATATTATCACAGCTTATACAATACAGCTCCACAACTCCGTGTCGGCGTCTTTGATCTGGCGGTCGAGAACCAAGCAAGACGGAATGGTGCTATCTCTGTTAGATTCGAGGGAAAAGTCGGGCCCGGATTAAACAATTTTTTTATTATTGAAAAAATTGAAAACCTTGGCGTAATAAGGTTGGTCACATGCCATATTAAGTAAGTTTTGGGAAATTACATTTTTAATTTGTTTTAAATCTTTCAAATATAATTAAAAAAATTATTTAAATATAAATATTATGAAAAATAGCACATCTTTCGGATTAGAGGTAAAATAATTTATATATGGCTAGTAAAATCCTCGTTAACAAATGTTTTGAGCTAAAACAGTCACTTCACGACAAATTGTGGCTTGGATCCATTTTACACCAAGGGCTTCAATTGTTAAAGAATTGTGTCACGCTCGTGGATGCAAATCAAGTGGTACCCCCGTGTCTCTGGCAAGTGTTACTCTTCGCGCAAAGGGTTTATACCTAGATAAACGAATGCTTCGACTGAGGTCTGGGAACTCTATGGTATTTTAGAATTATAAAGAATGTGTGCTTTTGTTTTAACAATATTGGTTATATTTAGATGTATTCTTATTATTTGAAATACAGATTTGTAGAAGTTATACTTTGACAGTTTTTATTAATATAATATATTCAATTTTTATCTGACCATACCGAAGTAGGAAATTTTAAAACTTTATAGTAATGTGAAATTTGAATTGCAATATTACAAGATATAACATAATTAGTACTTATTTTAGGTAGGTACTAAATTTGTACTTGGAGAAAGTAATATCGATTTTTACAAGAAAACTTGAAAAGTAAATTAATTTAATTCCTATTTCTGATGTAAAACTTAAACCAAGAAAACAAATAAATTGTAGTTTGTTCAACAAGGGTGGATATGATAGCCATATCACACAAAGACGAAGTTTGAGCACGACGTCGTAGGCGGAGAACTCAATCGTCTGATTGTGATATGAACAATCTACTCGATATGGTCAGTATATTTTTTCTACGACCCACTAACGAAAATCTACAAATTTAAAAAATTATTTTAGGTTATTTAGACAAAATAACTAATTTTAAAATAATTTACGAAGTTGACTAATTTATAAAATAAAATAAACATGAAAAATTAATTAGTCCTCGGCCTAGATTCGATCCCGGACTTTTCGCGTGGAAGGCAGATGCTCTGTCTTCATCTTCACCGAAACTTTCAGGACTTTAGTTTTAATACTCGTAATTAAATTAGTATCATGTAGTTTAATTAAAATTTATTTTTTTTAAATGTGGACACAATAGAAACAAAAATGCTATTATTTATCGAGTCTGCACAAAAATTTTAATGTATATTTAATATCAATAACTAAAATATATATTGACAATTAGTTTAACAGAATTGTCACTTATTTAAAAATTTTTAAATAATAGGAGTTGGGTGACCAAAATATGAACTGTGATTTGTAGATTTAATTTTGTTAAAGTGTTCTTACTACCTAAAATGGATATGAAATATATTCGTAGTTGAACACAATAACATACTTTTTCGTTTTGTAGTATGTGCGTAGATTGGCTAATATCCATGCACAGATTACAAAACGAAAAAGTATGCTATTGCCTTCAATTGAACGAATATATTTCATATCCATTCTAGGTAGTGAGAACACTGCAAAAAAAATAAATTCGCCAATCACCGTTCATATTTTGATCAACCGACTGCTATTATTTTTAAAATTTTAAATAAATGACAATTCTGTCAAACTAATTGTCAGTATATTTTTTAGTTATTGAGATTAAACATACAATAAAATAAGTTATTCTTTTGGAAAACGTTAGCATGGATGACTAAAGGGTATTGGGTTAATTAATTCTAAAAGTGTGGTACAAATGTTATTTTTTGTAGCCAATTCTTCAAAATTATTTTGAAATATCTTTTCAATATTGAATATTAGTTCTACAAATTCATCATTTGACAGTTGCAGATTTCCAAATGTATCTGAATTGGCGTTATCATATGCCTTTAAAAAGCAATAAAAAGAAAAATCATCTACCCAGACAACACACCAAATCCCAAAGATATCCACAGAATATCTTTTGTGGATATCCAATATATCCACAGGATATCAGAAATATTCCGTGGATCTAATATGGATATCCAAATGTCCGTCTATATCCAGAATATAGAAGATATCCTATGGATATTCAGCAAAATATCTAATTAGTATCTTCCAGACAATACAAGAAATCCCAGAGATATCCACAGAATATATTTTGTGGATATCCAATATCCAAATATGGATATCGAACCAAATGTCCGTCTATATCCCAGGATATAGAATTCAGATATTCAGCAAAATATTTTATAGGTATCTTTAGTAGACATTCATAAGTAACCAAATGAATGATAACGTCGAAAGAAAATAGAGATAAAAAATATTTCCAACAATCTGTCTTTGAGTTTGCCCACTAAGGAAAAAGTCATCCTTATTAGGACTCTTCAGCAATAAATGGAAATTCTCGACTCCAATCTCTAATAGAGTCTTAATGCGAAAAAATGTTCGATTAACTCAATTATGGCGGGTTGAGCATGAGTAGATACGAAAGTGGTATCGCCATCTATACTTAGGAAGCAATATCAAAAATTACATCTAGTAGTTATCCACGATGGTTTGCGTCCGCGCTAAGACTTTGATATATGTGGATGTCCATGGGATATTGAATACACCTTAAAAAAATTAATTTTAAATATCTGAACGGTACTATTAGCCACAATGGCGTAATTTTTTAATAATTTGCTATATAATTACTATTATTTATGGACATTTGCATGTCTATAAATTACATTTTATGGATATAAAATAGATATCCACCATGGACTGGACATTCAGTGGATATTGGGATGTTCAGTAGATATCCAAAGGATTTGGTGTGCTGTCTGGGTATTTCAACGTGATCTTTGTTATATTTAAGACAGGTATCGCAGGAGTGGATCCGCAAGGCTTTTATTAAAAGGTAACCACACACATACCTGATAAAAATTTTCTGTAGCAATTCGTCTTTACAATAATTTAGGGTGTTAAAAATTTCATCATAAAATAAAATACAAGGTGTTCCATTTAAAAAACATACATTTTAATTTGCCAGGCAAAAACGTGACACCCTGTATATCCAAAGATATTTTTAAAATATGTAGGTATTTTTCAAATCCATATAACTTTTATTTAAAAC